CGAAAAATTTTGAACAAGATTTATTGATTACTCTTTATATTTTATTTCTCTTAATAAATTCATCTAATCTTCTTTTTATATTATTACTTTCTTAAACATTTATTAAAACTATTTTTTACATTTTTCTTCAAATGACAAAAAGTTTTTCTACAACTCAATTAATTTTTGCCTAAAATCTTAAATTGGATTCACTTCAAAATAATATTACATATCACCTTAAGTTAGTTTCTTCTCTTTACTTATTTCTTATTCGGTATTTGTAAATATTAAATCTTCTTCTCCCTCTCTCCAACTCTATTATTATTCTTACTCTTACGACCACTTCACACTATGGCCATTCATTAAGGAGACAAAGGATTCTAGCAATGTGACTGGTGGGAGAAAAGAATTAACAGCTTTGCCTTCATATAGGAAGTAAATGGCCAATAGGCATTTTGGTCACGAGCACCTACATAATAGCACTTCATAAGAATTTTGGCACTAAAGAGTTGTTCATTTGATAAAAAATTGTGCGAAACACAAATAAAAATAAAATTCTCAATTAAACAAACAAGCAAAATATTATATTTAATAGGACTTTTACATTGACCTTTTGCCCAATGCTGAGAGGAGTTGCCTTAAGTCTACTTGACCGATGGCCACACTTTGAAGTGGCCCTCACTCCCCTAACTCTCAATTGCTCGTCACTTGTCTCTTTGCATAATTAGATTGCAACCTTGCATACAATTTTCCACATTATATATTTTTTCTTCTCCCTTCTTTGCTGTCGGCCTTCACTTTTCGCTATCTCTGTTTATTAGAAATTATTATTCTTGATTGTTTCCAACCCGACACTAACAGAGGTTTGAATTCCTTTTGAAACAGTTGATATGCTGCAATCGCATCCATTAGTGGGAGGAAACTCCCGCTTCCGCTACTCTATACATTATCTCCTGACTGATTTCTTGTCATTGAAATCCCTAGATGGCTTTTTCGCTGGTCGAATCCCTCAATACCTGCTACTGCCGCCAAGCTGCTCTGGTTGTATATCTTTGGCCCATTCTTGTCTCTTGATTTTTATTTTTGTGGCTCGCTTCTTATTCAACGGCACATATCTCTAATTCTTTATCATTTATTTTGTTCGGTGTCGCTCCTACCTCGACACATTTGCTCACTGGATCTTTGAATTATTGCACAACCACTTTCAACACTGTTTCCTAAACAATATAATTTCTCATTGAAGAATCTGAATTTTTTTTATAGTAAGGACAAAATTTGTTTATATTTATAAATATAATGGGTAGCAAAGAAAGCTCAAAAAGTCACTACCATATATTTCTACAGAAACATTAGAAAAGGAAGAAGAGACTTAATAAAGGACAGAAAACTATACTTGAACGGGCAAGTTGACATCAAGTGCTCAGAGTCTGAGAAGCAGGAGGGAAAGAGATTCTTGAGAAAAACAATACTGACCGCTCTGCTCCACCGACTGAGTCGCTGCAGCGGCGCAAAATCACCCCGAACACATCGGCTTTTGTGGATCTACATGTGTGTGTCAGAGAGCCGCACCGGCAAGACGGAGAGTTGCGTTACATTTGAAATAACAGAATGTTCCAATCAAAACTTAGGTAGACCATGGGTCACGACAGAGAAAGCACGAGTTTGCAGAGTTCGCGACAACTGTTTGCTGGGAACATTGAAACCCTCAAATGGTTTTTCGTGACTGTTTCTCAGAAAGAGTGTAAGTGTGACAAAAACCTCTCGAACCACATGTCCTTCAAGTTGACTTCATGGGATCTTGGTTGAGGAAATTCCGTCGAACTTGGTGGCGAACGCCATCGATGACCTTGCATTGCGGTAGTTATCTCAATTCATGCTCCTGTTACCTGCGGGGAGCTGCTGGTAGAATAGGAGGTTGGGGCCCGTGTCTTACGATGCATGCGATAGGCCACTTTCATTTGCCCCACACGACACGACTATGGCTGGTACAGCCTGTGTCACCGAGATGCTTTTTACTGTT